AACCTATACACATGATATTAATCTGGTCTTGCCCAAACACTCTAGCAAGTTTCACATAATGTTACAACAACGTTAGACGAGAGTTGTGAAATTGCTGAGGGAGGGGGCAGTGAGGAAATTACTCCACAAGCATGTTTGTGTCGTTGATAAGATGGAGATCCTCCGTCCCCATGGCCATCGCAGATCTGTCCTCCTCATCACAGCATCTCAAAAAAATACAGTGAGATCCAGGCCTTCAGGCAAAAATGGATGTTTGTAATTATCATTGTAAGCTGTTAACTGACCTACTGCAAAGGACTGGCCTCGGAGCTGATGCATAAGGGATTATTAAGTTAGAGTTCTCCTTTCTGGTCCGTTTTCACACTACAATTAATTTTTAGGTCCAGGAATATGGTTTCTGATTTAGAAAGGATATTAATTGAGAAACTGAGCACCTTGGAAACATGTGTCGGGGGTGGGGAGAGATCTGTTTCCAAATATTTGAGTTTGGTTTTTGGTTGAAAAAAAGGAGCTTAGTGAGATTAAAACATCAGACAAAGGAATGAAGGAATGCTTTTTCTTTAGATAACCCCAGGGTCCTCGACCAGAGAACCACTGGCTATCACGGGACCACGTTTGGCACTTGATAAGGATTAGGCTCAGTCGGACCTGCGAGGTCAGCGGTCATTATGCAAGGGTCACCACTAAAGGACTGGTGACCCTGCCTTGCCCTCCACCCTCACCTCCACCCCAGCAGTCCTCACCCACTATAACACAACTTCAGGCTTTTGGAGATTAATGGCACGCCAGCAGATCCAGCAGGACCTCCTCCTAGAGCGTCTGAGCACAGACGGAAATGCCCGGGTCACGCGGGAAACACGCTCAGGAGTAACGGGAGAGTCCCTCGGAAAAAGAGGGATGTGTATGGAGGACCACAAAGCTCATGGAAATTTACAGTTGCATTTACAGACGCTGGACTGTGTAAAAAATCATGCAACTGAAAATAAGATGTTTTGACAGCACCTTGACTCTGAAACATTGGCTTAGGCATTTTGTTTTTGTGCGCTGCTCTCCTCCAGTAGAGTTTGAATCAAACCACATCAACACTCTGTCTCCATAAAAGTTTCCCCTTTCATTCCTCTTTTCCTCCTCAGACCATACATTCCTCCCTTCATCCCTCTCATCCTGTCAGTGGTTCTAGGTTTACTTGGACAGTAGGTACCCACCCCCCTCGGGGAGAACCATCTCAGATTTCCTTTTGGGGAGGGGAAGAGTTAATAAAATAAGCATTTTGGCTGCTCTTGTCACATTGTGGCTTCAGCAGGAATGTTGTGATTTAATAAAGGCGAGGTCCCTTTAATAACTCCAAGCAGGAAGTATATTACCCTAAATGAGAGCCATTCCCTGGCCACAGACTGGCTTGGCTTTAATGAAGGGGTCACTTGGTGCCATTTAGGAGCCATGTTAAGAGGTACACAGAGGTACATGCTCATACACAAATAGAACATGCTGGCGTGTATAAATAAATATGGCAGAAATGTTCTGAAATACTAGTTATTTTTCCTCTTCCAGAAAGACAAGTGATCTGATCTAGACTCAAGTAATTAACAAAATGCTTTAGAAAAATGTTTTCTTTCAGGCCCCGTATTGCTGTCGAGCCTGGATTTTTCCAGACCAAAGAGCTTTAAAAGCTAGAGGAAGAATATTTTCCTAAGTTTTGATCATTTAAATGTGGTGGTGATTGCTGAGGGAGAGGTGAAATGTCCTGAGAGTACCCCTTAAGAGCCGTTCCAGTGTAGAACCTCGATAATCATCAGCAGCATACTTCTTCAAGCATGTCCACCCTTTACCGCAAGACTAGTCTCGATCAAAATGGTCCGCATTACTTTCCTCTAAGATTGAACATTTGTAGGTTCTCCACGCAAGCGTCAGGAAGCTGTCCCCATTACTTTGGTGCAATCTGGAGATCATGGCCAGTAAACACTAGGTGGAGACATAATTTCCTAAAGGAGATGGAATTATTTCAACTCGCAGCTCGATAATCCCTCCCAACACACTGCGGGCTCATCTTACTACTTATTTTATCATTTCCACTGCTTGTAAAAGAGGCCTGGAGTAGAAGCAATACTTCTACTCCTCCTTCTAAGGCTCCCATTAGGAGCAAAACCTTCCCAAGATCAGATGCAGATCCTGCTCTGTGTGCCGGATTGAGGATGTCGACGGAGTGTGTAACCTAGGCCGGAAAAAACAAACAGCGATGAGGAAGACTTGTACACAGCTCATTAGAACTCCATCGTTCATGGTTGCCATTAAACGGCCTCATCAGGCTACAGTTGTTGAAGTGCTTTGTAGAAGTGGAACCAATAATGAAACCTCGTTATTTTCTGGTACCCACATCTGCTCCCGGTTCGGCCTCTCTTAGCCATTTAGGGGTATCCTGCAAGAGAAGAAGGCATTGAGAGTCCCGAAGACAGCTTCTTAAAGGGAGGTGCAACAGTATTAATATGAGAAAAGTAGTTTAAGCAGCATATTATAGCAAAGAGGCAAGGCAGACACTTGGGGCTCTGCTTTTGAGGTCTAATGCTCCGGTGGGTTATGAGTTTGAACCTTCTAGGGGTGCCGGGGTTAAGCTGAAGAGCCTGAGTGCCAGGTGTGAATCGTCCTGAGGGGGCCTGCGGTTACCCTGCTCCCCTTAAGCCATCAAAAGCCAGCCAATGAGCTTTGTGGCCGGGAGGAGGGGGTTAACCTCAAGGTCCCCCCCCCCCGAGGTCCACGAAGTTCATATATCGCGGACACTTGATCTTCAGGCACGCTGTGGAAAATAAACACGGCGTTTAATCATGTGACGGACAGAGAGAGCAGAGGAGAAATGCAGCGGCCATTATGTGGATGGTTAGACACCATTACATTGTCTGCCTCGTTTAAAGACATTAGCTTTCAAAACCAGATCAAAGTCACTCCCAGTATATTTTTGAGACGGGAAGTAGAAAAAAAAAAACTCACAAACTTCAGAAACCACCCCACTACCATCCTAAATGCCTTTGACATGAGTCCTGCACTCTGGTTTTCTTCAAAATGTTTTCCAAATGCCTTTATGTGTTCAAATCTTTCTGGTGACAAAATAAAGCATATATCTCTCTGTGAGCGAGGGTGCTCACATCCCCACTAAGCAAGCACTGGTCTATAAAAAGCTCTGGGACTCCAAAATATACTTAACCGATCTCCTTGATCTAGCAATTTATTGACGATGAAAACTTCAAAGGCTCGAAACCTGACCCTTGCATGTCTTCGAACCATGGCTGCAGCAATTTCCATAAAGACGAGGCTGGGAGGGATGCTGGGGCCAGCCATTGGTAGGTAGTATATTGGCTATCCTCGCTTTTACATAAAGTTAATTTGCTCTCGATGACAACCCGTGGCGAAGGTGAAAGGTGAGAAGAGAAGTTTTTCCATCAAACCGGCTGTTTTATAGACCGGAGCTCACAGACATGGTAATTAATCTCCTCTCCCTTAAGTCCCCACCCTTAGCCGTTATATATTACTGACTGGGAATGTATACTGTCTGAATGAAATGGCAATGGGGCCCTGAGATAGGATGGGGTGGGGGGGGGGGGGGGTAGGATTCCTCATGTGATGATGGATCTCCTTTTATCGGACGTCGATTTAAATCTGTGGGATGTGAATCCATGGTGGAATCTCTGTCATTTCAACATAAGTACCAGCCATAAACAGCGGAATTAAAAGATTCATCTATTCATAAACGAGTCTGTGGAGGACATGAGGAACTAATGGAATGCAAACAGATAAGTTTAATGTCAGAAATCTGGGTCGCAGATTGGTGCCAGTTACTCTGTCCCAGTGGGTGATCAGAACCTTGGGGATCACCCCATAGGGGCAGAACTCACTCTGATGGCACCGTCCCCAAAACATAGCTCCAGGTGGCTTGTGGCAGTCTACCTGGGGGCGGAGGATGGTCACATGGTCACTGGACCTGCCTCTTCGCCAAGGACCCGTGAATGTGGCCGCCTCAGAGCCAGCATGCTGCAATTAAACCCACATTTTGATACAGGCCCGCGTTTCTGGAAGGCAAGACCAGCTGTGGTTTACTAGCCTCTGCTTCTCGAACAGGAAGACGGGCCTCTCAAGTTTCAGCGATTGCAGTCTATAATGTCGTCTGGTTTCAGTTACATTTTCATTTCATTATTTCAGATTTATTGCCCTGGTAGTTGCACTAGCTGTTGTCATATGAATTTGAGTATTATCTCTCTGATCCTAATGGATATTCCAAATATTTGACCATCGTCTGAGCTCAGGGACGGCGAGCAGAAATACGGATACCCGGCAAGCTGAGTTTTCTTCCCGCCCTACAATCAATTCCTGAACATATGGGATCAACTGGATCTCCTTTGCTCCTTGCAAAGGCACAATGCAGACCTTGGAAAGGTTCCCTTATTGCTTACAAACACGACTCCTCAAACAACTGATGTGAAAGTAAAAATGTCCATGTAATATGTTTGCCTCTTAATAGCGAATTTAAATCTGGCCAATATGGTAACTACTGTACTTCAAATCACAAAATCTGGTGTTTAAAATGCGACTTTCTGACAATGACACACTCTCTCCTGTTAAAATCGCCTCACATTATTGGACTGTTTTATTGGCAATTCAATGTCACAACGTTTTAGTTATTTTAACTGGTAAAATTTGATGCAGTAATTCACCTTCTTATATTGGGCTTCTGCTATATGCATCTCTAATTGTCTTGGATAATTATTTTCTCCCAAAATAAAATATACTAATTTCTTTCTTTTTATATCTAAATCTATATCAACAGAAATGTTCATTTTTATAGTTAAGATGAGTCAATTGTAAGAAAAACAAGCTGCAATCAAAGCTTCTCACTTTATTTTTATGAGTTTAAAATGCTTCCATAAAGTGTTTTTTCCCAAGGAACTGCAGGAAGGAGGGGTCTACAGTCCTCTGATTTCACTACCCAACTCTCCTGCTCTGCCCCGCTACCCGCTACCCGCTACACTACAGAACCAATAGTCTTGGTAGTCAGTTTCTGGAATGAGCTTATCCCTTCAAACAGGCAGGAGTAAGGTGCATCAAGGACTGTGAGGTCGTTGGGGAGGGTCAGACCCCGGAGGGTGTTTGCACAGCCGTCTGGCAGCACAGCCTGCCTGTCTGGTCGAGGGGCTTGACCCTCAGCTGGCAACTGTAGTGTGAAGGAACCAAGTTGGTCATTAAGCAGTGAAGTTCATTGGACTCGCAATCCTCTCCACAGCTGCCAAGCGGGAATATTTACCAGGCAAAGATGGAGATGAATAAATATATACATAGCCATTAACCCAGATACTGCAGGCATGAGACATCTGGAACTGGACCCTTCAGAGCAAAACATCACATGACAGGTTATAGGTGTACTTTGTCCTACTGTGGTATGTGTCGATGGGAATGGTACAAAGGCATAGTGTCACACCACATCAAGGAATCCATTTCAGTCTTCACAGTTAATTACAAGAAAGCTAAATGAAAAAAAAAGATCATTTGCTCAGGGGTCATGGCTCCTATTCATGTGACAGAAATGGGGCTTGAGGCTTAGTGTTAGCTGCCATGGCTGCATTTGTGATGGAATTCAAACCCACAACCCCATGGGCACACAAAAGCGGTAGGATACCAGCTGAGCTGCATACCAGCGTAAATTGACATCAATATACCAAAAGCAGAGACCTGAAGCCCCCTGAAAGGGGGCCGAGTTCTTGTGTTCCTGCTGAATTAATCATAAGAGACATGCTATCTCAGCAAACACAGAACCCCGCCTTCCCCGTCGAATTCGTATCCTATGTAAATGTTTAAGTTTCAGAGCGCAGCGTTCCTTTCCCCTCCTTCAAAGGGAGCCTAATTAACTACCAAGTTTCTCCCTATCATGAAACAAGGGCAGCGGTATCAGCTATATAAGCCAAAGCTCAAATGCGGTAAACTTAGACAGAATCAATATTTTAGAAACGATAACAGTATTCGGAGAGTGACCGCGCCATTTCCAACAAGCTTTGAGATCGTGACTATCCCATGCATGGAAGATACACAGTATCGTTTTTAAGTGAATGCTGCCATGTTTGCAAGTTTCTTCAGGAGCAGGTCAGAGATCGTTTGAAGGTTAGCATCTACGGAGGGATCCAAATCGCCCAGAGCTTAGTGAAAACACGCAGCGGCTGAGTGACACTTTCGGGAAGAGACTGTGCCAGTCAGCGGCAGCACCTTCATGTTCACAAACTCCCTGCTTCGCTTCTCTATCTGAACTGAATGAATTTGGGCAGAGCCCCAAAAACAAAAACAAAGTATTTGCTATATTGCCAAACCAAAGAAAGATCCTGAAAAAGTATATCCTTAAACCCCGTGTTCAGAAATCACAGCTGGAGGCTCTCTCAATATACCTGATGGGGGTCCAGAAACCACACCTTATGACAAGAAAACGAATTAACCTGCAGGGAAGCACAAATACAAAATGGATGAGTTATATCGCTCAGGAAAACCGAGTTAGAAGTATGAATGAATGAGCAAACGGAAACTGAAATTTAAATGAATGAACGCTGGCAACAATACTGTCATGCATAATTAAACCAGTGAATAAATGCATATATCAAGGTTTTCGCAAACGCAAACAGTTCTGCAAGCGATTCTCTTCACGGATCTTTAAAGCAGTCTTTGCGAAAAGAAGCTGGTTTGCGTTTTTTAACGCAATGATGTAAATATATACGCACGTTGCATATATTCAGCATGGTTTCCAAGGACTGGCAACAGCGTAACGCAGCGAGACGTGATTTTCGCTGCAGTAGACGTATGTGTATTAAATGCGCATGCGTAAATGTTCCGAATCCTTAGTGCAGTGTGAATGCCTGCATTACTGAGCAAGTCGCGGCACGCGGTGAGTGACACTAATTCACAGGATAAATGTGTACAAAAGGTTTCCACTGCGCTGTGTAGTTAATGAAGGAATATCTAATACTCATCCTGTAATCTCATTCCCTGAATCTTTTGTGTGCAAAGGGGACAAGTAGAGTAAATTAGAGAGTATTTCGCAAATAGACCCATCAGGTACCCGTGACTTTAAAATGAAAGGGTTTCAGTTTGTTGTACGTTTTGAGTCCTCATTTATGAAGATGTATGCTCAGTTTGCATGTATTTGTACATATTGTCCTAATGTTTTTTTTTTCTCTCTTTTTTATCGTTTATTGTGGGAGAAAGTAGCACCAAACTTCTTAGGAACAGGAGTGTTTCCGACGAAGAAAACAAAAGCCAGAAAGAAATTCTATCTCTGGAGGGAAAAGAGAACAGTTTCAAACTCATCTGTGATTAGCATAATAGAATTAGCCCTTCCAACAAAACGGGTATTAGCACACCGGTGGTGGGATTTGGAACGGGATCCATCTCTTTCTTCTCATGGCAGGTCGGGACTCGCAGCCAAGGAGAGGGAAAATCTTCTCATTGTTTCTCGCTGGCCCATGACTCATGCAAGATGTAGGCAAGGAGTCTGAGCACACAAAAGCACATGCACACACCAACACCAAGTATACCTTACGAGTAAAAAGTGAAAACACACACCGCACAGTGCCAGTGCCCACATACACACATGAAGAACCTTACAGCTACACTGCTGCCTGCTGCAGGATATCTATCCATTGTCTAGTTGGGACTAACAGACTTAAATATCACTAGCTTTTGGAGGAGGTGTAGAAGATGAGCAGATCTGCTGTTCCTTTTTCAAGCTTTGGCAAAACCTATCCCACATGGTGTGTAAACAGGCTGCTTTTTCTGTCAATGTTAAATTAGATCAACACAACCATCACTGCATCTAGTTCATAGTCCCAAGCTGTCCCCATCTTTAGTGGTGTGTTTTCAACATGAATACTGTCATAACTCTAAAGAATTCTTCCAAAACAACCCAAGGGAACAGTTTCATGACCCGTCTCAGCACCAGCATCGGCGTTCCAAGTGTGGACAGTTCCTGCTAATTCACCTCCCTCTATGTCAAAGCCAGGCTTCAGCAAAGAATAACAGCAGCGGATGCCAACTGCTCATAGCAGACAGCAGACACCTCACGCACCAAATCCATCAACTTGTGCTCAGTAGCCCCAGATCTTATTGATTCGGTGCCGGGTTTCGGTGACAAGACAGTGAATGTCGTCAGTGCATCTGGGTGGCTTGAGAGTTTTCTGCTGAAAACATGTTTAGAAGAGCAGCGAGCCCCGGGCCTGAATTAGGGAGGGGTCCGAAGGTCTCATGGTGTCTGGCATTGCTGGGGCAACAGCAGGGAGGCTGAAGTATGATAATGGGGGGGGGCTGATTTCCTGCCCTCGGCCCCCGACGTATCCGGGTGGCTGCATGAACCTCCGATGGGAGTTCAAATATAGAAATTAAACTCTGATAACGGTGAGGTCCTGGCGAGGAGTCAGGGCACCCAAGAGATAACATGGTAAGGGAAACAGAGGGAGAGGGAGGGGTGGGCAGGGGCGGGGGCTGTCCAAATAGCCATGTCGCCAGGGCGATAAAGGTGCAGCAGCAACAACAGCACAGTCTGCAGAGGAGTACATAAAGTACCTAGCGGGTGATGTCACCGGTCGCCAACTCATAAAAAGCAATACAAAGCTTTACTAAAAACACTCAAGAAGGCGCCCTTGAACTCCAGGCTCTCTAATGTATGAAGCCATAGAATACACAAATGCATTCTTTCTGTGAGTAGGATTGGAGTAGTTAATCCCATTATTACCACAAAAGAGGATCTGGGCACGCTCAGATTCCAGGCCGGGGCTGCCGTTTGTGCAGACGTCCTGCCGGCATTGTCTCAGCTACCTTACATCCCCGGGGCCTCCACTTAATGAGCACACGGTTCCTGGATACGTAAATAGAGGAAGGAAGGCAAGGAGAAAAAAGGTGTTCTATCGCTTTAAAGAGAACGCAGTGAGGATGCTTCACGTGCACGTACATGTATGTACGATGCGTGCTTAGACACCCTCACACATCGTACACATGGCCACATGGATAGACAGTGAGAAATATGCAGAGATGTCAACTAGATGTCATCCATAGGCAGCCAAGACTCGGGAAGGTTCTAGGTGAACTTGGTGCCATTGTGTGGCAACAAACTCCCGCCAAGTCTCTCTCTCTCTCTCTCTCTCTCTCTCTCTCTCTCGTTGCCACAGAGCCTCAAAAACAACCTGATAAAAGTTGAGTATTATCTGTCGATCCATCCATCCATCCTATTGTCCTATTCAGGGTTGCGGGGCATCCGGAGCCTGTCCTGGAAGCTACGGGCGCAAGGCAGGGAACAACCCCGGATGGGGCGCCAACCCATCGCAGGGCACAAGCAGGGAACAACCCCGGACGGGGCGCCAACCCATCGCAGGGCACAAAGCAGGGAACAACCCCGGCCGGGGCGCCAACCCATCGCAGGGCACAAAGCAGGGAACAACCCCGGACGGGGCGCCAACCCATCGCAGGGCACAAAGCAGGGAACAACCCCGGATGGGGCGCCAACCCATCGCAGGGCACAAAGCAGGGAACAACCCCGGATGGGGCGCCAACCCATCACAGGGCACAATCACACTCCATTCACCAACACAAGCCCACCTACAGGAAATTTAATAACTTCAATTAACCTCAGCATGTTTTAGAGTGGGGGGGGGGGGGGGGGGACCCACTGGAAACCCACTGGAAACCTCACTATAACACAGGGAGAAAGTGCAAACTCCACACGTAGAGCCATGGCCCAATATCCCAACATGGAAGCAACTGGTTAGAGATGGTTACTCAGACTTATCATTGTTATTTTCCTTAGCCAAAGTACAACCAACATTACAGCATGCAAGTTAAACAACATTCATTATACCGACAGCTGCAATTGTTACTGATGACAAAAGAGGTGAGGTTTGGAAATTCAGTAGGTGGGGTTTTGCATGTGCTGTCAATCTCTGTCCAGTTTGACCAATGGGAACTATAAAGTCTTGGTATTCATTGAGTGACAGGATAATCCCATCCAATGACAAAGACTCAATTCTCATTTCATTGCTTATTGTTTTAACCCCAGGAAATCTGCAGTTAAAACTGAACACCTAAAACTTAATTACAAATAGATCCATGTAAAACCTTACAGTAAATATGTTATATAGATCACAATAATAACATTTAACAGCCTAAAATGTCTTTGGTATGGGTCAATATTTGACAGATCATGCTAGGCCGTCTCATTAGGCTACTGTTATCCTGGGGGTGCAACATTACTGGAAAAATGCAAGGGGGGGGGGGTAGGTGTTCAGGTTCGTGCCTGTATTCATCAGTGGGGTGGCAGGTCTGACATGGGCGGGCAGCTCCCCGAGGGGGGCGGGAAAAAAAAAGGGAATAGGCGGGCAGAGAGATGTACTGGGGGGAGCAGGGGGGACCCCGCAAGACGACAGCTAGTTAGGAACGGGGGGGTGGGGGGCAACATATGGGATGTATCAGGCTGTATTATGTCTGTCTTCTCCAAGACTGACTGGATCCAGGGCCAGGAAAATGTGTCCGATGTCATGCTGTATCAGCCTGGGCCTTTCATGGCACATGGCTCCGGGTTCTAGGGTTCCTGGTGCTGTCACAGCCATTCGTGCAGCGGCGCCTGGAACCACACGCCCATCTTCTAAAATCCGTTCTTCCCTTTTTCCTTGAGTCACTGGATCCACGGTCCTCCAATCAGCCATCGCCAGATGCTGCCAAAGACCCATATGCAGAAATCTCCTCTACATTCTTAACCTGACCCACAAATGACCTGCATTAAGTCTTGCGGCAAGAAACCTCAGTCATTCCCCACATCCATTCGAGTTTGGAAGTGATTGACACACATGTTGCAGGGGACCGTTACTCTGCCCAGCACTAAGGCCTCTGCAGCCACAGATGAAAATGTACCATCAATGTTACATGTTATGTAAGTATTTGCTGAATCACAGCATTTTAAATCGCTGGTGGCTCCCCAGTTGGCCCAGCTTCTTGCTCAGAGATGCACATATGCAGGCCACCAGATGCTAAGATCAAAACGCCAGTATTAGTCACCTACTCCATAGGCAGCCATCGGCCTTGGATCCCTCGCAGCACCAAGCAGGATGAAAGAAGTTCACTGAAAAATTTCTGGGAGCTGAAATTGCGAGCGCTGAACAAGTCCAGACTGGGAGTCCATTCTCCATATCCAGACTTCTACTGCCCCCTACTGTCAACTGTGCCCATTACAGTTAATTAAAAACTAATTTTGTGGGACAAAATCCAGGCAGAATCTGTTATTTTAACCCATCCCAGCCCTTCTGTTCAGGCTATCAACTCACAGCTAGCACAGAGTTATAAATAACAATTCTGTCCTATTATAGTTTCATCCTATTATTGTAAATATTTTTCTGTGAAAAAATGTCCTTGGCCCTAGTTTGATTTCCTAGTTTTGGGATTATTGTAGCTACTATTTATAGTATTAAGTATAAAAAAACCTTCAGTCCCTGCCTATAATAATAATAATAATAATAATAATAATAATCATCATCATCAATCATCATCATCACCATGCATTCTGCACATAAATCTCTGGGACACAAACATGGTGTGAATGTGAGGATAAAATAAAGCCACATGTATTGTGGAACACCATAATAAGTGTCTTTTTACTGCATAAACATTTTCACCTGTACTTTTTAACCCTGACACATGGAATACAGCATAAGACCATCAGTGCTGACTTTACATCTGTGTATGAGGCATGCATTTCAATTTCTATATATCACAGCAGCAGAGTACACTGCATGTAATTAAAGTAAAA